TTTTTGGTTTTAGATGGTTAGGGTGTCTTTAAACAAATTTGTGTGTATTTTGAGACTAAAACTTCATCTGAGAATGCTTGTTAGTACTTTAATTTTTGTTGTCTTTTTACTATCTTAAAAATATATAAAATTATATAAAATGTTAATTAAAATAAGAGAAAAGTGTTTTATAGGTTGTCCATCTCTAAAAAATTTAGGAAGGCTCATTTGGAAACTCAATTTTTAATAAATATTTTATAAAATTAACTGTTGGATTAAAAGTTTTGTTCATATAGATTATGTATATTAATTTCATATTATTCTAATAGGTCTAATCATTTCATTGATTATACAAAATTTAATACTATTAAATGTATGTTAGCAAATAAAGTTTCTTAGATGAAAATGTTATAAGTGTTAAATTAATATTAAAATTAATTTGTATAATTTGTATAATTTATATGAATAAAATTTTTAATTTAATTGTTAATTTTTGAAAATATTAATTGAAATATAAGTTTTTAAACAAGTATTTCAAAAAAATTTCAAGAAGATGACTTGCATTATATTAATTTTTTTCAAAAAATATTAAATATGTTTTATATAATTTTGAAATATTAAAAAATTAAAAAAATTTATAACTACAGTTATAGATACTACTAATTCTCATAAACAAAACTTGATCCCTCAAGAGCTCTTATATATATAAGAACACACTTTCATATTGGATTGAGGTATTTAAGAAAATTTCCTTAGGTGATGTCCCAAAACTTAAAACTTTGAACCTATCCTACAACACAATACGTATCATCAGTAGATTCAATTTTGACTTTTTTAAATGATTTTACGTTATCTAGTTAGTGTAAATAAATATATTAATACCTTGTATTTTGATGTCCTTTTCTTTGAGGTCTGGGTCATGGGCAACAGGAATTCGTACTTCAGTAGATGAAATCATGGGTAACTTTACCTTTAAACCTTCAATACATATACATACCGCAAATAGATTGATTAAATCAATATATACAGCCAAAAAATAAAAATTAAAGATTAAAATATGAAATTAGAGGGAATTCATACTTACAGTGATAAATCCATATTTGCCAAAATCGAAGCCTACATCCACTAAAAAATGCTGAAGGTTGACGTGACAATTTATAAATAGGAGAATTTTCTCTAATTTCGTGCTTTTTAGCGATGGCCAGCTTTGGGTTGGGCCTTGTAGCAACGGCCAGCTTTGGGTTGGGCCCTGTAGCAACGGCCAGCTTTGGGTTGCGCTGAAGTAGATCCAAACAAATATCTGGTTTATGCGTGACAAGGAGCAAAGTTACAATTAACCACTCCACTCCAGTAGAAATATATTTAAAGGCTATTTGGTACACTAATTTGAGGTTAGCAGTTAATAATTTCATTTAAATTGTTATATAAAAGTATTTGATCTTTTTTTTCCATTACAAACAGTTATATATTTAATGTTTAATAAAATTTTTTATTTAGTTGATTCATAATAACAGTTAATAATTATAGTTTAATTTGTTAGTGAATTGAAAAGCTTCTAAAAATAATTTTTTTATCTCAAACCACTAGTAAATTGAAAAATTTAAATTACTATGAGAAATTTAGCTATGAAATAATTAAGTATAAAATACAAATTTAAGTGCACAACCTTCTTTACTTCTTTTTACATTCCCGAAAACTTAAGGACATTGACGAGATAAGTTTTTTCCTTCTATACTTCGTTATCATGACCCGTTAAATTGATGGGTATTCAACTGTTTTTTGGCAAAATTGACTTTAATTGTTCCACTGCAATTACTGCCTTCCATGGAGTTAGGTTTCTGACGATACTACTATGTTGGTTGTTTACTTGTACAGAATGTCCAATTTATTGATATTTGATCAAATACTTAATTAATTTGTTCATATATTTAATTTATAGAAAAGTTTAATAAATAAAATTTTTTAAGCCACTATAAGAAATTAATTAATAGGAAAGTTTGTAATTTTTGCCTTATATTTAAATTTTTAAAAATAATTTTTTATTAAAAAATAACAAATGAATGCGTTATTTTGTAAATAAATAATAATAATAACATGAATAAACAACAATAATAATATGAATAAACAACAATAATAATATAAATCTTTTACCATTAAGAACTTAAAAAAATAGAATTAATTACTTTTTAAAATTTATCCTAATTTGTTGTTTAACATTAAACAGTAGTTGTTAACTATTTAACTGAATAATTATTAAACACATATTTTGCTACCACTATTCATGATTCACTATGTACTATTCACTAACTACAATAGCTAACTACTAGATTTCAACTATTATACCGAATATCCCCTTAGACAAGTGAATTATGATCAACCTAGTTAAGTAAAAAATTTTAGCAATCAATTGGAAGCCTCATAAAATTAAGAAACTAAAGGCTTCGTTCAGGATTGCTGGGTTGTGCAAGTTCTTTTGTTTATTATTATTTTTTTTTTTTTGGGTTTTGTATTATCTCTAAATATATAAAATATTAATTAATATTAGTAAAAATATATAAAATATTAATTAAAAATAATAAATTTACATTTTAAATACGATGCTATAAAAAAATGCGTAAAGTATTCGCAAACAAGTAAAACTTTAATTTAAATTTAAATTTTAGAGATTTATTTGTAAATAATGTTACATTTATTTAATTTTAAAAAAAATTTAATTAGAATATAGAGACTGTTTGGTCAAGTTTTAAAAATACTTACTTTAAAAGTACTATTTTATCCCATAACTTTAAAATTTTATTAGAAAAAATTAAAAATTATCTTTAAAACAGATTTTAAATAAATTTTAAAAAAGTTTAAATGTGTACTTTTTCAAGACTTATGAACGGCCTCATATGTTACTATTGCCCAGTGTGGCTAGTGGAGGCAGTGGGCCGTGCCACTAACTCCTTTCATGCATCTTGGATCCCTAACACACAAGACACAATATAAATTAGAAAAGTTTGATCATACCTAACATTTTGTTATCAATGGCCCAGCCGATGAGAACGAGTCCATGAGTGGTATTATTTTCTGGTAGGAAGACCTCGGGTGGGGTGACAGAATAAAGGTAGTAAGTCATCTCCTTGTGGCCCGTAGAACATGCAGTAGTTACTGGGATATTGCCATACTTGTTTTCAATTGTAAGTAATTTGTTATTCTTTTGGACTAAGCATTTTGCCACGTGTGTTCTCCCCGTCAACGCAGCTTGGCTGAGAACGGTGCGATTATTACTACTTACACTCTTTATTTCCAGTTCTGTTTCCGACATCATCTTTACCAATTCCTCAGCAATATTATCTTGCCCGGCATTTATTGCAACATGAAGAGCAGTGTAGCCTCTGTCTGACACTATTTCTGTATCTAGTCGATGTTTATCAAAAGCAAAAAACTGCTTTACAGCATTCCAATCTCCCTTGCAAATGCTCTTTTTCAATTCTACATAACGAGAATCTTCAGTCATCTCATTTTCTTTTCCTGTAAATAATTAAGATATCAATCAAAATTATAAGTATTTCAGTAAGTTAGTTTAACTGAGACTGCTAAAATCAATATTACCTCCGCCCGCCCCCTCCACACTAGTTTCTGGTTTTGATCTAGATTGCCGCTTTTGATGCATTTTGGCTAATTTATTCCGAACAACTATTACCGAGCTGATCTTCTCTAATTATTTGGGCAAAAATTTCTTCGGTCAATGTAGTATGAATTGTATGTAGAGCTGCAGCATTCTGTTTCCTCCAATTTCCTACATCATCCGAAGAAGAAACCAAATCAAATATTATCACCAGATTCAAGAGTGCCCCAAAGATCTTCAGCCAATAGATAGTTTTCGATGTAACTTCTCCAATTTTCATAGTTATATTCTTTAAGAAGAAAAGGAACAATACCAGTAGTACTTGAAACACTGCAAATTGCCATTTCAAGTATCTGTCAAACCATTGTATAATATTTGTTAATTAGATATTGCATAAGGAAAACTAAACCTGCACTTATTATAACTATTGATGAAAAGGTAGAATTCCTTGATATTGGAAACTCACCCCTTTATCAATAAATAAAAATAGTGTAATTCACAACAAAGCATTTTGTTTTCTTTTCTTTCTTTTTTTTTT